TATAATTACATTATAATTTCAAATAAAATCCAATGAAATTCCATTTATTTACAGGTGATTTATGCCCGTCACAGGCTGTATTATAAAGTGCTACCGATCTTCTATCCTTTATTGTTTTGATGATTGTGGAGGAAGAACACTTTCTACCATGTGAGTGCTGGTCATCAGGAACAACATAGCTTGTGATACATATCATTCTCATTCTCTTCAAACTATTCAGTGGCCCTTTCTGTCCTATAGATGAGGACATTGCCGTCCTGGCCACTTTTGCATAGAAATGTTGCATTGTAGGTTAAAAATGATCGCTCTGAACATTTGTGTATTGATTTGCAACAACCTGTTCCTTTTAGCAGACACATGGACCCAAACTGTGTTGTGAAAATTGAGCCACTGGATCTACTTACTGCTCAGGGGTTCAGGTTTTCCTTTATTTTGCTGCCCATCCGTATGTTCATTCATTCACTCATGTTCACTCAAGAATTTAAGCTATGGTAGAGTTCAAGGAGGAAAGGATCTGATTAGATAGGAATATGCATAAAAGAATAATAAGTTGCAATACAATAAATTCAGAATATGAAAACCTTTTTTTTTTCCTGAGCTCTGGGAATTTATTCAGGTGGTCAAAACCTTGGTTGCAGTTATGCCATTGTGAAAAGAAATACTTATATCATTATTTCAGTGTGAATCTTTTCAGAGCATACTCTCATCATGCCCTCATAACTGTTAAGAGTCGCAAAATGTGAAAAACAGCTCTTTAAAATGGTACAAGCTGTTTTTGGTTGTAAAATATTTTTTGAGTCCAGGATAATGATCACAAATGCTGAGATGCTTTAATCTCATTTTGCTGGAGAAATACATTGTGACTTGAAGCAGCTGGTTAACTACACTGCAGAGATTTAAATCACTGTATCTGCGGAGTAGCGAATTGACAGACGAATTAACTTGTGCTCTGTCTGCTCATCGTGTCCCTGACAGTCATTACAGGGTCTTTATGTTAACGGGTGATGGTTATCTTTCTACTCAGGAATCACCCTCATTTCTCTAAAGTTGATTCTACAGACTGATTCACATTTCACTAATCACTCACTCTGTTGCCCCCTCCTCCTCCTACTCCTCCTCCTCTTCCTTCCCCCTTCGCTACAACCACAGGGAAGACCACACCCACAAGCGCCAGCACAACCTATCATGGGGCGGCATTCCCAAAGGAGGCAGGTGACCCTGAAAGAGGTACAGGTCCTGATCGCCCTCCCCCTGTTGGGGAACAAGGGTCACCTGACTCGGAGCCAATCAGTGTGGAGATGGAGGGTAAGGGGGAGGGATGTATGTCCTCGATACACTCTGACCTGCTGAGGATTGCACTGCTGGGCCCCGAATGCCTCACTGTACACTTCTAACCAAACTAAAAGTAACCCAAAAAAAATATATCACTCTGGTGCAACAGTTTCCCATTTTCAGCATGCATACCTGCAATGCAGTTCAGTCCTCTTGCATTCAATCTCACGCAGCTAATGAAAAAACACAAGTGAGACAAATTCAATCAACACTTATTTTCTCCAGTTTTCAGTCATGCATTTTTTCTCTCTCTGCAAACTGTGAAGTAGACTGATTCTGAATTGTTAATGAGAACAAATACTCTCCAGTAGAACACAAACTTATATTGGAGGCTGACCATTGTTCTGAACTCGTGTGGTGGTATGCATGCTAATATGGGCATAATGTTCTTCTGGGGTGAAATATCGCTTTCATTATCTGACTAACACGTAACTCTCTAGTTAAACCAATCTCTTAGTGAAAAGGAGAAGGCATTACTAATTGATCCTTTTGATTCATATACTTCATTAGTCCCTGCGATTCATGACGTGATGCATAATTTCCCACACAGCTTCACCTAATGGTTCTACTGACTCAAAGCCCAGTGGGGTAAGATGAAAGTGGGCTAAATGACAAGTTCTTGGTACAGTAATTGGAGACCACATTGTGCATAATCACTAAACAGAGATGGACATTAATCAATACAGCTGAGTCCGGTAAGCTTAAAAAGTATTAGGGGATCTCGCTTTCTCCTTATGCGCAGCCATACATCTTGATGTGCTCTGTTGACATGGCAGCCATAAACGTGAAGGATTTGATGACGTAAATAGATTCTGCGTTGGCACTAATTAACTCCTCGCATCAAGCGGAGATCCTAGGTCTACACAACACCGCTCCCACATGCCCTTTCCTCATCTTTTATTTATTTAGCTCATCAACACACACACAAATATCCCCTCAGCGTCAGTGTTCAGATGAGAAAAAAAACCCACAGGCCAGGTAACATTTCTTTCTCTCTTTACAAGACCATTCATTTACAATTTAAATGCCCCTTCCAGTTTTAGGCAAGAGTCAGCCTTTAATACAAACTTTGAGAATGTAATGTCAGCTTTCAGCCTATTTGGGGTTCTACCACCGATGATACTCTCTCTTTTCCTGAATTTGATTCTGATTTAAAATTAATTTTTTCAAAGTAAAATGACAGTATAAAACAAAAAGAATTTATTCCCTAAAAATTATGGCATACGCTTTCAACAAATAACATCCCACCAAGCTCCTCCTGTTCTTCAGACTCTATCAGAAGAAAATATTATAGGGAACAAGCTGTTTAGAAAGATGCTAGCGCCATCTCCCTCATTACACCTAAAACCACTTATTGAATGTTCACTTTCAAAAAATTAAAAGTAATGAAAACATATAGTGTTTATTATGAACATCTCTGTAACTGCTAGTTTATACCTTATTGTTGATTTCCACATACTTTGATGTCTCTTTCACACTTTTTAGCTTTAACTTCTATGGTAAAAAAAAAAAAGCGTTATCAATAAAAGTCATTATTAATTCTCATAACTCAGCACTCGTCTTTCCACAGCCTGCAAAACTGGTGACTTTTGCAGCAAATAGTATTAATTTTTTTTTTTTTTTTAAATGAACAAAATGATCTGTTGTTATCATTCGTGTCTTCACACAACGTGACGTACACTGTTTTACACTTATTGATGTATTTGGCACAAATTATTTTATCAATAAGGAGGTTGTCTGCTAATATTAGTGATTAATAACAAAATCCTTATGGTAGTTTTCGGCTAAATTAATAAAATCTACTTTTTCTTTCTGTTTTTACTTAATTTGCTACAATGTTGCACACAGAAAAAAGCTACAAAATGCTATATTTTAGAAGGTGGAATCGTCACAGTATTTAAAAAATCAGTTCTGCTTGAAAGGTTTCATTGTTAACTTAGACATTTATAATCTCTGTAGTTATAAGTGCCGCAGTGATTTTGAATTAGGTTTTATTACTGCTCAAGTTTAAAGTGCTCTAGTTTAACTTCAGTTCTCTGTTCTCACATTGTTAAATACATCAAACATTTCATTTCTCAGTAAGAGCATAAACTCTTCCACACCAATCCTCAGCTGCCCCAGTAAATGACATGACCTATAAAAGTCTAACCAGTTTCTGAATATTTAATTACTTCTTGATCTTCATTGTCTCGAGTATCATTTTTTCCCTCACTTTTCAAGATGACAGTTCAAACTTAATCCTGATTAACATTCCAAGCATTTGGCGTTTCAGCAGCTGTTACTCTGCTGAAACGATCTTGTAACGAAATAGGAGCTGCAAAGCAAGAGAAAGTTTTTGAAGCTTTGCTGTCTCGAGTCGAAGCATTTTCTTGCAAGTTAACAAAAGAAATGCAGTTCATTGGCTAGGATTCAATGAAGACAAAACATCGTGAAGCAGTGTTTTGTTCTCTTCTCGCTGCTTGCCTGTGCACACACCGTGTCAGAATCCGTAAATCCTCACCATGTAAAATAAGCTTCCATTCAGGCAGAAACACTGTGCAGTGGCAACGATGAGCCGTTCAAGCTTACATTTTAAAATAAAGTAAATAAATGACAAGCAGGACCTTAAACCAGGAAGTCAGAGAACATGTGGTGTGTAAGTGAGGCTGTTACACACCTCCCAGACGATGTTCCAGTAGACAGATTAGGACACAAAATAAACTTATGGTAAAAGTAAACTAAAACTTGATTTAATGATTGTCCATCTTTAGCCCCAGTCTTTACTCAAAACATAAAGTGTCCAATAATTACAGCACCAACTGACCTTGAGGCTAAACCAGTGTGAAATAAAGTTTTCTGATATACTTCTGATTACTTTCAGCTGTATATATACTGCTGTGATGGTTGATGTTCATGTAATTTTTGATATGAGCATGCTCAGGCAAAGATTACTAATAACAATAATGTTTAAGTAATCCCTGTGAGGCACAAGGTCAGCCTTCAGACTGCTCTAAATACTGTTTCTGAAGGTTTTTTTTATTATTATTCCTTTTTTATCTCAGTGATGTCAAAGATGGGGGTGTCTCATTATGGTCATTTCAGGGATACACAACTGCTGTTCAAACACTGTCTGCAACGAGCAGCTGATTAGAGCAAATCCGGCTTAAACGGACAGTGGGAGAGGAGCTAAAATGTCTTGTTTCAAACGGTTGATTAGCTGAGGGGCTAAGTGTAAGTTAAATTAAGATTATTTAGAATATGGAAGCATGCTCCTGTAATAGTAGAAGTACTAATAAAGGCAGTGGTGGTAGTACTCGACTAATCCGTGAATAAAAATATAAAACTGTAAATGAGCTTAGTAGGTCTTGTTTGTGATGCTCGGAGGTTTACACATGTAAAATAATAAATGGGAAAGTAGCCGACAGGCTGAGTAATATTAGTTATAAGGACAGCTGCAGCCGTCTCCCATTAAAAAACACAACTGACATAGTATTAAAGATGAATGATCAAATGCTATAATCTTGAATTGGACTTGCTGTAAAGGACTGAGATTTGACTCGGCATGCACTGCCTGTCTGCAAGAGATGCATCATAAATCTCATTCTCATCTGAGGAAACAGATGTGCATGTTAATCAATACTGCTGTTGGCACTAGCTTGAAATGAGTCTGGCTTCACATTTGTATATGTGAGGCATCTCTATAGGCATCGAGTGTGTTTTCTTTCAAAGTGCTAAGCCACCATTTATTACTTATAGATTCAGCTATGAGCACTTATAAAACACTTCATAATGCACAGCAGTGGCTGACAGGTTTAAAAGTAGATGCTAATGGAAGTGCTGATGCTGCTGACATACTGCTTGCCTACAGACTTGGAAACAACTTTTTTTAGTCAAGTTTTGGCAGCAGTTAAGTTAAGTATGTAGCCCCCAGGCTGCATAATCAGTGTAAAGTAATGTGAAACAGAAACTCTAGACCTTACAACAGCAATTTAGACTTGTTAGAGAAGGAAAAGCCCAAGTGTCACTAATGAGATTAGAAATGGCTGGAGTCTCTTCAAGGTCCCAGTGAACTCTGTCAGGATCATCAGCCCCGTAAACAGAGCTTAACCATCATTTACTTTTTTCTGCACTTTTCTTAATCTAAAATATCTGTGAAAAACATTTTTGCAACCCCCGTTTTTCACAGAAGATGCAGAGATTGGAGAGCTGAGCAAATATTATATATGGTTAGGAAAAATGATCAAAAGTGTCAATATTTAACCAGGTTTTAACCAGGCAAAAGGTTACATATTATTGTTTAATCCTAATAGGAGAACTTTTTTGTTTTGAAAAAAAAAAAAGGCCCTAAACCCGCAAAAAAAATCAAAAAAAACAATCAACCGGTTTATAACAGTATAAACAAGTGAAAACATGAATGAAATTCAGGGCTTTTCTTACCTCAATTGACAAAGTCTTTAATTTTGAGGTTTGACCACAGTTCCTGTAATTTTACTCACAGAAAATAGAAAAAGGGGGGGAGACTGGTCTTGTGGGGCAGCAAACATGATACAAAACATTTGGATAGCTGTTAATCAGAAACTTCTGCATATGCAGACGTCATATGGAATATTGCAGTAGCTTAATCACTGCTGTCACCATGCACTTCCCAGTGGCTGCAGCTAATTTGTCTCACGCAGTCATTGCCAAATTTGCCTCAACAAATGAACTTCGTCACACACTGAGCAGAGGGCTCATCGGTTAGCAAGAACATCAGTCCACCTTAGATTTTAGCTGCTTGTCTAAATGTTGTTGTACAAATAAGCAAACAATTGAAGTGAAGCATCTTTGACTTTGACTTTTAGGGGCAGCCCTACTAGACACATTCAAAATGTACAGTAACACAGGGATAATCGGTGTCCTAAAAGGCATCCAATTCTCAAACCACTAGTATAGACTTTAAACACTAACCTTCACTTCTGGCTCTACTTTTCAACTTGTGGCCTGTGTAAGATGGT